CCCCCGCCCCCCCCCCGTCACGCATGCATAAAATTCGACGATTGCACGGTAACACTTTTCCGGGAGTGCATATGGGTGTTTGTTATTCGTCGCCAAACATAACCTTCTCGATGCCGGCCAACATTTTGCGCAGGAATCTAACTCTCGTCTGATAACCCTCTTCTTTTTCTTTCTCCTCCTCCACAATTTTCTTCGAGAATTCGGCGTGGGACTCGGTCATTTCCTTGTGGAGGGCGAGGCCAGAAGCTTTGCTGTCGTGTTCAGCAGTCTTCAAGCGTGTTCCTCTTTTTTTTTGGACCACTCTGATTTTTCCGATCCGCCAACCTTTCCCAGCAGTGGCTCAATATCGGCGAGTGCGGTTTCAATGGCAGCGGCGTTGTTGTTCCTGGTGTGGGTTTATCACGTCTGCGGTGGGAGTCCTCGGGTCTCTCGCCTGGTCGGGACCGGTGTGTGTACGTCGAGCCGTGGCGCTTTCCGTAAATTTTGAAAAAATACGCGCCTTCGCGCCTTCTGCCGATAATAACCACCGGAAACCCTAGTTACGGTTCCGTGAAAAAAGTTACTATTCGGTGAAAAAGTTACGTATTTTTTCGGCCTGATAATAATAAATAAGAATCGGTTGTAGGGTACCCAAAATTGTGCAGAGTGTGCCCTTTCGGGAGAGGGAGTTGACCTGTCACCGGAAAGGCGCCCGCATCAGTAGGACCGGTGCGGGTGTTACAAGGCACCCAGCAGAGACCAAAACGGCTTTGAATGTGAAGACTCCGGCAGCAGCAGCAGCAGCCCGAACCACGACGAGAGTATGCTGCTGAGAGCAGTTATTGCCGCGGGACCGACCGCAGCGTACCTACATTATCGAGACACCTCACCTCCGTGCAGGCGAAGCGGTTGTGTGGCAGCTTCGCCGTGCCGGTCGTGCCAACCACCTCCATGTCTTCCTCGTCTCCCCCCCTGCTGCGCTTGGCCGGGCGGCTCGCGACCTCCTCATTGATCATCTCCGGCGGCTTGTCCGTGACTTGGACCTCGCCGCTCTGCTGGGCCTTGGTGGAGGCCTCGGCGGCCCTCTTCAGCCCCTCGTTCTTCACCTCCTTCTTCTGCGAACAAGGGATTGGACGGACCGGGTTTCGCGCATAAGAAGGCTTGAGCGTGAATTAATGGTAGACGTGATGTCGTCGTGCGCTTGTCCCAAGAAACGCACTTCATTGCAATACCGTGAAACACCTCTTGAGATTACTGGTCCACGTGCGAATCATGTGCTTGTCCGAGAAACGCCCATCATTGTTGTGACATGGAATAGCTTTGAGATGACCGGTACGTGAGAGTCGTGTGCTTTTCCGAGAAACGCCCTTACTTAATGGTTTGTACCGTGGTATACCTTTTGAGTAAATAGGGCTTGTTTCGAAATCAGATCACCCCCCATGCCCAACGCCCACACAACACTGCATAACCGGTGACCGTCTACCAAGTCGTGCATGTGCCCTCGGGTTCTCCTCTGCGATTGTATGGTCTTTCAGAAGAGAACCTGCGCAATCAACAGGTTTGTGTTGCTGTTGTCTGCACAGCAGCTACGGCATTCCAGCAGATATTGTATACGGTACGACTGCGGCATGTACAAAAAACCGAACACGCCAAACCTGCAGCAGTAGGCTCTCGCAACGTGCGACGCAACCCTAACAAAGCACGGCGCGGTGTCGAGTTAGAAATCCGCGCTATCTACCAGACCCAGGCACCCAACAAGGCGATAGATAAATTACAAATTGCCACCACGATAGTGATACATATGTAGCAGCAGAGGCCCCCGTTTAGTGTCGATTGCCGGTAAAGTGCCGGTGTTTTCGGCGAGCACGCCCTGATGTACCATGTTGTTCCGTACTTTGAATAGTGCTGGTGTCCGGAATAGTAGCGTAATAGTCGGAGAGATGGCACCCGTCGAGAAAATTGCACCGGCGTGCGCAATAATACAAGAACGGCATGAATTAATTCGATTTACGCATGGGTGTCGGTGAGATCGCACCCGGTGCGATCTCACCGACTCCCAAATCCAAGTTTGCTTTCCTTTTCAGCTGCCGGAATGAGGTACATGTATGTGCGTAACCTTTCGCGCGTGGGGCGGTTACAACGGAGCGCCACTCCTGTCCAGCATGTACGTGTGCATGGTCGCGGTTCACGCGAGATGCTAGTTGCCAACCGTACAACAATCAACCAAACACGAAACCAACAAGCCACGCCCTAACAACCCACCTTACACAACACGAAACTAGAATATTGTACTGCTGAGCACGTACTGGTATCCGTAGAGGAAGGCCGAAACGAAAGCGGAAGACAGCCAGAAACCGTATGTTCCTGTGCCTCAGATGGACACCACATCGTCGTTGTCCTTGTCACGCCAAACCCAAACTCGTCTACAAGCACAAGACCATCGCTGCATGGAAGCCGATATGAACCAGCCTACGTCGCCGTTACCGCGGTGTGCTTCCAACCAGCAACAACGGTACCTACACGTACGTGTGGTTTACTACTGATCAATAGAATTATCAACTAGCGTGTGAAGAAGACCGTGTGTGTGACACTGGTATCAATACTATCGTACCGGTCGGGGAGATGGCACCGGGGGTGCGTGCATACAAGACCCGTATATATTTCATCGGGGATGGCACCGGTCGGAGAGATCGCATCGGGATGCCTTGAAAAAAATAAAAAGAAATGATTTCATTGCATTTAGACTAGACTATTACGCACCGGGCTCGGAGAGATGGCACCGGGGTACGATAAAAAACCCGAGGAATAAACAGTTGAAAAAACGATCGCACCCGGTGCCACCTCTCCGACCATTACGGTAAAATATCTGGGCACATACCGGAAATAAAACAGGGTAGTCTGCTGTTGTAACATGATTGGTCCATGGCATCACTCTCTCTTCGTAGCAGAACAGATTGTACGATGAGGAAACTGTGCCTGTACTGCTGTAGCGTCTTGGAATCTCTGCTCGGAACACCCGAGCATGACAACGGTACCCTCAAAGCGGTACCTTTACTGATCGGAAGGAGCGCAGGCGGTAGGTCTTATGCGTGATGCCTCGCCCAAGTCACGCACATGCGGCATGAAAATGCTGCCAGGCATGCGATCTACGTAAATAGTCTAGTGATCTTGTAAAAAGGGCTGAAACGTTGCCCGTGACCCCAATATACCGCTCCCAGCAGCGGGCTCGGCTGCGTACGCCGTAGCGTAATAGCCTGATAGGCTTGGTTGCAACCGCCGTGTTTCAACTCTACTTGCAGATAATCCGCTCCGATGCACGTTGTAGCTACATGCTGCTTCATGGACTCGTGCTGCATTGTAGTATATGTGCAGTCGACCCCGCTTTAAGGACGCTCTCATTAAGGAGTCTCCCCGCTTTAAGGAAACTTGTTTTGCTCAGCACCAGGAGGCCCGGCTGAATAAATGATAATGGGGTTCACCCGTTTTTCTGCCGCGTACCTCCCTTTGTTGTGTCCTGCGGGCCTGCGGGCCGCTCTTTGCACGAACCACGCACCACAGTGAGTGCAGAAGTAGCGACGCACAGACAGCAGAAGTGGCGAGCGGGCTGCTGCTGCAGCTGCAACTGGGTGTTGGTATGGATAGATTCCTCCCATCTACGGGCGGTCCATCTGGTGACGCCAAAAAAAAAGTCGTGCGTAACCAAGTCCCTCACCGAGGGCGTGGTTATCTCTCGCTTGGAGGACGTTCGATCCCACAGATAGCGCCCGCATTTAAGAAACGTCATAATCGGATCGAGCCTCAATCCCTTCTTTTGGTTCGAAGTACCGGCCCAATTCGTCCATTTTCGTCAATGGCATTTCTTCTTCCTTTGGACTGACGCAGCCTCCCGATTCTCTTTTTCCTTAGACTACAACAAGTATTTCGTATTTTCTTTTTTCTGTTTTGTGATCTCTGAGGACAATCCACATCAATCAAGTCCTCAAGAGAGGTGGTGGAGAGTGCCATCAAACCCGTACAACAGCGGAGAGCATATGGTGGTCCGCGATGTGTGGCAGTAGTTCAGTACAGCACTCACTGTGAACAGCAGGGGCGCGGGGGGGGCGGGGGGGACTCTGTCCCCTGCAAAAAAGCAGAAGATTGCAGAGACAGAGGCGTTGAAATCTGAGTTTTGTGAGGAGCGGAAGATGAAATATCTGTTGGCCAATCAGAGAGCAGCAGCATGGAGTCAGCGTGAAGTGTCTGAAACCTGACTAGAAGAGTAGACTTGGGGGCACTTGTTGGTCTGCCCCAAGGAAGCACGAGGGAGGCTGCTGCAGCCAAGAGGTATTTCGGAGGAGATATATTTCTTTGTGCTGCGCTCTTCCCGCGGGCAGGAGATCGTGCGGGTCGTGTGGCGCGGGCGTCTGAGGGCATTCACCTAGCGGTTGGAACTGGAGGTTTCAATCTTGGTGGCTCTCGATTGCATCAAACTTGGACCATGTCATCCGAGCACAAGTCGCCGAAGACGGAGGAACGCCTTGGTGTCGTCCGCAGTGAAGGACCTACTGGCGGTCAGGTTGAGTCGGCGTTGGGGACGGGAGGGGGTTCGTTTCCTCCGCCTTAGGTTGTGGCGGGCGTTATTGCGGCGGCCGCGAGGGCTGCTGCCAGTGTTGTGGATTCACCAGTAGTAGGTGAGGTGGCTTCAACAATGCAATCATCCGCAGATGTTGGTGCTGCTGAGAGCGGTGGGTTTCCGACTCAGGGTCACGCTTGGGCCTTGGCTTCCGGCGGTGACTGACAGCCGGAGCTCCGGCGTGCGGATGACCAAGTCCAGGCCCACGTCATGTCGCGTTTGGCCCATATGTCGGTGGGTGCTGCGGGGGGGGGGAGCC